TAATTATAAATTATTTTTTTATCTATAGCAATCGTAAAAAAAAAAGAAAAAAGAAAAATATTGCCTTAAACTTAACCAACATTACCATCCACTATTTGCCACCTTATACAACTGCGCATCTTCAACCTATGGATGCTGGCATTATTAATAATTTTAAAGTACAGTATAACAAATAATTACAGTATTTATTTTTTATGTTGTCTTTTTATAATCTAATTCGATATTGGTAATTATATAGCATAAATATAAACAATTATATGCACGAGAGTTAATTAGAAGATTTGACCAAAATGAAGAAAATAAGTAAGTTTAATCAATTAAATTATTGCAGTTTGCAAATTTTGCAGATCAAAAAATAAAAAAGAAATCGATGATTTCTGATTTCTTTACCATTTTTTTAGACTTTTAGATTAGACTTTTAGATTTGACTTTAATATTATTAAAGTCTAATATAAAGGTCTAAAAGTCTAAAGAAATCGGAAATTAGAAATCAGAAATCATCGATTTCTTTTTTTTTTTGATTTGCAAATTTTGCATAATTTTGCAAACCGCAATAAATAATTGTTACAGTACTTAAATATTACATTACAATAACTATTTCTATAATTTACTTATACAGTAGCAAATTAAATGTTTTGGAAGCAATTAAATTTATTGGAGATGCGTGGAATGCTATTACACAACAAACTATTCATAATTGTTGGAAAAAAACAGGTATTTTACCTGATTCTAACTCATCAACTATCGAAACAGCAACCGAAGAACAACAAAATTTAGAAAACAATAATTTAGAAGATTTGCGGCAAATTTTAGAATCAGAAACTGCTAATAGTATTAGTGGGCTTGCTGCTTATATTAATGATAATGAAATTGTACTAACAGAAGAAATGTTAAATGATAAACAAATTATTGATCTTGCAATACGGTCTGTAGAATTTGAGGATAGTTTAAGTGATGAAGAGCTAGATTTAATAAGTCATAAAGAAGGATTAAATGCTTTAACTACTTTTATTGATTACTTTAAACAACAAACAGATGCGGATTTTAAAATTGAAGATTTGAATATTTTCAAAAAATATAATAATATTGTTAGAAAAAAATATTTAGCAAATATGAAGCAAAAAACTTTAGAAAATTTTCTTTAAAGTTATAATTTTATAATAATAAATAAATTTTTTAACAATATTGGTTTAAAATTATTATTACTGTATTATTATTATTTTTTTTTTTTTTTTTTTTAAAAAAATTTTTTATTATCACACCCTTGTTATAATCACATATTTTTATGGTCCCAAGAGTGTGATTATAGCCAGGGTTGACTGTATTACCAGTTTCATTAGTTTCAACAAATCACTATTTGGACTTTTAAGTTACACCTAGTTTCAACTAGTGAAATTAATTAGTTTTATCTACAACTCTAGTTAGAGCCCTTTTACGTTAGGGTTAGAATCATTAATCTAGATAAAATTTCTCTCTCGACATTTTTCTCTTAATGCACCAAAGTGGGTTCTGACTGCCGTTTCTGGTATTTTTCGAATTTTTCTCTTTTTTTTTCGCTTGTTTTTGATCTAGATTTATTAAATTTTCGCGATTTTATTGGTTGATTATCGCAAAATCCACTCCACTTTAAGGAACCCCTAAATTAGGTCAGATGCATGTCGATCATTGTTGTGTTCAAAACAAAAATCACTGTTTATCGTTATTTCGTGATTTGTTAAATACACCTAGCTTATATATAGCAACATCTCAATATTCCGTAACTGTTAACAACCGATATTTTATCATATTTTGACGATTATTTGACATGCTAAAAGAACACGAACAGCGTTATAATTTAAATGAAATGCCACAAGTACAAGTACAGAAAGCAATAGAAGAGTTTTTCAATAATAATTCACTATGACCCTACTTGAGTTCCTTCAATATAAATTAGAAATTAGCTATTTTACGTTTGATAAAGGATTTGAGCACAAATTATACAAAAACACGTTGAATGCACTATCTGAAAATCACGCTTGTGTTCGCGAATGTATTTTAAATTTCGAGGTCATATATTCATTACTATTTTGGTTGAGTTTAAAGTTTGAGTAGGTTTAAGAGCTAGAATATGTTCCGGTCCCGGGACAATTAACGTGACATATTGACAACCCCCGAGTAGCTAGCGGAGTACGTCTCTGCTGGTGATAGTGAAGTACGCCTTCGCTCGGCGCTCTTGAATAGGATACACAACTCCTGCTATAACGCAACCGGATGGACACGTCTAACTGGTTGTCAGGACACGTCCATGTTATAGTCTACTCAAACTTTTTATTTTAGTTATGTGGTTCAAGTAAAATATTGTTTAATCCTACAGCATTTTCATTTTCTCCACAAGCAGAATGAGAAGTCATCTGAAAACGTTGATGTTTTTTGGACTACAATTGAAAAAAATTATATGAAAATAAAATCAATGTCGCAAGGGTAAGAAAAGTATTCTATGCGTTCGCGTGTTTTTAGGTTCAAATCACAAATACAGGTTCTAATTACTAGCATGATTTTTTTACAAGGCCGACGGAGTTCTATATATTTTCAAGACAACAAACGAAATCAGCAACATTGGTCAATATTCAACACCAAGATCTCCTTCGTTTATATTCTAATACACAGATAAATGACACACTTTTCTTTATCTTGCACAATTATTTTTATTTCAAATTTCTGAAGATTCATTTTATATATTATCAATAATAAGTTAATAGGAGTGTCGAATGATGATCAAAGGAAAATACTACTCCTTGTCTAGTAAGGTATTCATTGGAGGATTTACCAATGACCAATGAATGAACTAAAACCAAAAAGAATAGTACTCGCGAAAGCTTGTAGCAAGTTATTTGAATCATGCGGAACTTATAATAACAATGTTTGTAATATAATTAATCGTTTTATTCATTTTTTTGGCTCAAACTAAACTAATTAGTATTATATTCAAAAAGAACGAGAGTAATAAAGATGATGAAAATGATGACAGCGATGATGAAAACGAACTTATACTAAACACAGAAGTAATACATTTTATGACTATACAAACCTGTAAGTGATTTTCACTTAAAATTCGACCTTAAAATAATCTCTAAACAATAACAATTTTTATAGTTTATTTTCAAAGATAAGAATATCTCATCGTTGTTTAAATCTTATCGATCTGAAGTATTGGCTCTGGTAAAGAGTCTATTTTATCAGTTACAAAAAGTCTTTCCCATATTTTCTTGCTACAAATCAATGATTATTCTAATATGTAGATAAAAAAATTTTCCAAAGATATACTTAAGAAAGAATATAAAATCGAAGATTCTTGGGAAAGAAAAATTGCCTAAAGATATTAAGTTAATCCTTTGAGAATACGTTAAAGTATATTTTTCTTTTAAGCATAGTATTTATACATGTATTATTCATTTATTAACAATTTTACTTTTAGATCGCTCTTGATAACGATGAAGGTAGACTAGATGAACTTCGAAAATTCATAATAGAATCATATTCAAAACTTTGGTATAGCTGAAGAACATGAACATTTCCGGAAAATGTAATTATTATTTCAACAATTGTAAATAATTTAGGCTTAATTTTTTATTAAATGGGGGAGGTTAGTAGGAGAGACAAATTTTTTACAAATAAATATTTTCTCAAATTTAGAATAAAATATTTCAACAACTACTTATGTAAATTTTTTTTATTTAATTTTAATAAGTTATAGATTTAAAATAAAAAATTTTTTATTAAATTTGATAAGATAAATGTTGATAAAAAATTTATTACTAAAAACGATTTGTCTCTTGTCTACTAACCTCATCCAAACATTTACTTGTTAATATTTTCCATATTTTGTAGAGCTGATAATATTCCAATCCATCTATCGAAAGAAGAAATTAGTGAAAGCACATTAATAGTAAACATAATTAGTCCCATACTACGTGTTTTCTTTCACGATGCATCTGTTTATCCTACGACATAGCCCTATACATCAAGTAGTAGTGCTAAGGTTCAAAAGCTCGCCAATAACTAATGATCTTACTCGTGCGAAACAACCGGACATAATTGGGAATGTTCTTAATAATGGTATAATGTAAAAAAAAAAAACTTTTTATATGAGTAATATAAATTAGAACTTAAAAAATTTTTATCAAAAAATAAGAAAATTTGTCCATGAGATGATGTATGGGGAAGTGACAGGTGAAGGCAAAAACAATATAGGAAAAAGAACTTTACTGATCTTATTCCATTAGGAATTTTTATGAAAGACTCTATTGATGATATCGTGCAAAAAACTTGTGTCAATTCTACTGTATTTGCATGGCAATGTATTGGTAAGCTGTTTAGTTCTCAAAAAAATTTGGTTTAACTATATTTAATTTATTGGTATCAATGTAATAAACAGTAACGAAATGGACTGGATATTTTATAACTTTAATTGCACCTGGTATTTATGTAATAGTTGAAGTTGGTCATGTAGAATTGCCAAGATCCTTTGAAACCTGTAGCACGTTTTTAAATGGATTAGATCTTTTGAATGCATATCAGGTATAGCTACTAACAGTGTTGGCAATTTCAAGATCATTCATTTCAAAATGACCTAGGCCATTTCATATATAACATTCATCACATGATGTGGTCATTTTGAAGGTCATTTTCTCAACACTGGCTACTAATGTATTTAAATTTTTATCAGTTACAATTAATTTTTATATATTGTCTTTTAGATGGCGTATAAACGATCCTCAAAAGAAGTTTTATCAGTAATAAATGAGAATAAAGAAGACTTAGAAAACCTAGCAGATTCGCTAACTGCTGAACTCAGAACATGGAATCGACCAACATTGGGGACGCCGTTGTTTTAAGAAAATTACTAAAACAACTACGGTAGCAGGCATTATTATAATAGTTAAATAAGTTACAAAATGATTTGATTTTTCCCGAATTAGCACTTAAAAAATAATTAATATTTGTACTAGATTTGATTTTTAATTAAAGATCTGTCATATAAACTCGGGATACGCAGTTGAAAATTTTTCTTCCAGATAAAGTAACATAGTAGATCTTCATTTCAACCTCGACTCAGACCAAAAAGCATAATCATGGAATTACTGGCCGTGAAAATTAAGATTGTCTAATGCGGTCCAAATCATATAACTATTCTTAAAAATAAAATATCCATTTTGATTATTAACTTGAATCGAAATAGCGCACATATAACCTACGTTTATAGATATTTCTCCTGTTCCTGAGTTCAACCTTTACGCCATTAATTATATGGTGTATGTCTATTTTTTTCGTGGACGAGACGATGATTACTGTGTTTCACAGAAAACCGCAGAATTCGACAAAAACGCAGCCAAACGCAAAAATAGACCTTAATCACCATCAATATCACAGAATCCTAAAAAAGAATGTCAGCAGGAATACAAATAAATGTATTTAGCATGGAAATAACAGAGGTAGCGCAGAAACTTAGCAAAAATAGCACAGAATCTCAAAGAATTCGGCAAAAAAGTATCACATTACAGCTATATTCATTTTGATTTCGGCATGGTTATTATCTATCGAAGGTCTAAGATTTACTACCTCTTTATGTCTTATAAAATCTTGGGTGGTAGTGACGTATTACGTCACCGCTTTTTGCAAAATAATGGGATTATTATTACTGTATATCGATATTTTTACTTTATCTCTAGAGCAGTTTCCACTAAACACATCAAACATAATAAACAAACATTCATGCTATGTAGTATACTATTAAATACAAGAATATCTATTTATAATAATCATGAAATTATACATTGTACAGTATTGTATATTATGTACTTTGATACTGTATCTTCACTATAATTTTTTATAATATATAAGGGGAAGCCATATCACGTGACACATTGATCAAAATCGAATGGTCGTCTTATCGAGCTGAGTTGAATGATACCAAAATCATTCGACTCGATCACAAAATATAAAAAAAAATAAGAAAATTTTGGCCGTGGGGTATTAGGGTTTAAGACTCTATATTATTTACAAACATAGTGCAGCACTATATGATTGGCCACTAAGTAAGATTTTTGATCAATTTAGGTTGAAAAAAATTAACATACGGAGCAGATAGCAATCAATAGAAATTAATAGTGATTTATTATAAAAAATCGGTGTATTTTTAAAATGCTCTCTGTTCTAATGAAGCAAATTCAATTTTGTAACTTGTAAATGATATATTGAGGGTATGGTTTTAAAACTATGTGGCCATATTTAACATTAATATTTAATTTTAGTAGGTCTCCATATTAATATAGACATAACACTCGTTCAATGTAATGTATGGAATGCACTTTCAAAGAAAGATAAAATTCCGAAATACACATGCGAAGGATGATCCTCGATTTTGATTGGCTAACGGCCGGGGATCTGCAAAATTTTGGCCCGCATTACATAATTGTTTACTCATTTCTGGCCGGAATTAACTTTTTAACTTTTTCATTCTAAAAATAGAAATTTTCAAAGAAATAGGCCGCTATGCTAAAATCAGCTCAGGAACAATTTTCACTTAATGGGCGGCTATGATTTCATTAGTAAAATTTTGAGTAATTCCGGCCAAAATTTTTGATCACGCTTTTAGCCAATCAAAATCGAGGATCATCAGCGCGGCACCTAGGTTAATTACTGATTTAACTTGTAGTCAAAAACTGCGCCATAAACATAATAACAGTACTGCAGTAACGGTAATACAAGATTAAAACCTTAACAACTAAGTGTAACGTAAGATAACAGATTTAAACCTTAACAACTATGTGTAACGTAAGATAACAGATAATGCAGATAATCAGCAATTCTTTCCAAATCAGTACGAGTGATTCCACGCGATCATACTCTATAATCTAAAATGTTTTGTGTAATTTAAACTATTGTGGGATAGATAACCGAAATCTGACAAATTAAAATCTATTATTATAAATACACGAAATGGAATATTCTCTGCGAAAAATTTTTTTAGTACTTAAGTACGTACGTGAATAATGAGTGACTTATTTCGTCATTAGGTTCTTTCGTCATGACTTTAGTATATTAATCAAATTTTTCGATGAATAAAAAATTATATCGAAAAATAATAGAACAATTATTATGAATAGCTTAAAAAAAAATACGATCTCTATCAAAAAATTTCAAAAGAAGTTTATTTTTTTTTTTTTGAAAATTACTAGATTTACCCTATGGGTATGATACCCTATTTTTTAAGAAAATAAAAATTTAAAATTAAGTTTAAGGTTAGGGTGAGCACTATATTAGGGTTAGAGTTAGAGATTAGACGCTAAAAACTTTTACTTAGTAACACAAAGCAAGTTAATTTTGAGATATAATTTCTTTATATTCGTTACACAGAGATCCTGCGATCTGATTGGTTAATTATATAAACCGGGTACATACCCATAGGGTACAAATAGAAATTCTCTTTTTTTTTTTTATAAATTATAATGGTAAAATTCTTTCAACATACGTTTAAATATGAGTAAGTTTAACAATTTTATTATATTTATGGTATTTCGTACAATACTTAAAACTTTTTGATATTAATTTTAGGAGTCATGATTGCTAACTTTTTGGCCTTGAATTCCTTGTAGATACAGCTGGGATAGTGTAACTCTAGCATTTTGGTTACGGTATCCGAATCCTTTCGCCTCACATGTTGAAAGCGTTGACGTGATAGATAGGTATGTTGATCCAAATACAGGTGTATTAAGAACTACAAGATTGATCTTAAAACGAGGAGTTTTGCCAAAATGGGGAAACGGGGTGAGTAATAAGAAACTTATATAATTACATAATTACTATTTATAATTAAATTTTTTTTTTTTTTTTAGTTTATTAAAAAACCTGAAGCTTATATTATTGAAGAATCGATAGTTAATCCAAAAACTCAAACAATGATTACACTCACAAAAAATATAACACATGCACGAATAATGCAAGTAGAAGAATGGCAAACATTTAGAGTTGACCCTAATAATCGAGAATTTACACAAGTTAAAACCGAAGCCAGAGTAATTAGCAATTTTGGATGGGGATTGACTGAACGAGTTGAAGGTTTTGGTATAAAAAAATTTGCAGATAGTACAATGAAAGTAAGTTTAATCAGTTTATTGAAATAATCTATAAAGAATACATTGATAAAGTTTTTTAATATATTAGAGTCGAAAGGGTATGTCTTTGGTATTAGAAAAGATTCGTGAAAAACAATTATTGCGTGGCCGAGGATTTTTGACTACGTAGTTTCTTAATAACATCCTTCATCTGTATATTCTCAAAATAAGTTTCAACAATTGGCTGAAAAAGTTATCTGTAATTTTTTTTTTCCCTTTTTTTTTTTTTTGTCAAATTGTTAAATAAATGTTTAAAAAAAAAAAAAAAGATCATCGGAAAGTTTTAGACACGTGATTGTTGATCAAACGTTGAGAGATTCAGATTTTTTTCGAGCGATCACGACCGTACATGGAGCAAAATTAAGACAATGTTGAGAAATATCTCCAAGACTAAAGCTTTTTGGAACATTTAATTCTCTATTTCCCAGAACAAGAACGTCAATACGGTTTTCCCTTATGAAATCAACAATACAATTTCCTGGATCGGAGCTAGATTTAACATGTAATTCTAAAGGAAGCTGGCGAAAAAGTATATGATTTATGTAGTAATTAAAGAAAAATAAATGTAGTATAAATATGGGATTAAAAAAAACGAACAAGTTTTTATTAATTAGACAACGACTGACCTTTTTCTTTTTAATTTCAAGAAAACCACAAACCAATTTTTTTCCATTATTGACAATGTCTTCCGCTTTTTGTTCTACCTAAATAAATTTTTGGGTTAGATAAAATATTTTTGGATTAAATAGATTTTGGATTCTTTGGTAAACCAAATTTTGAATAACTTTTTTTTGCTATTCGAATAAAAAACATGCCTGTTGTTTTTGCAACTGTCTCTCATTCTCGCCATTCAGAATGTTTCCTAAAAAAAAAAAAAAGAAGATATATACAGTAAATATTATATACACAAACAAACGAATTGGTTAAAATCAAATAATGAAACTTACGTGTGACCGCTGAATATTCTAACGGTGTTCTTCCGGTTAAGATGCCAACACTTAATAATAATAATAATATATCATCCTTTAAATCCAGTAAATTTTCAAGAGCCCATAAAAGAGCATAATTTGAGTTTTCTGAGCCGTCTAGTGCTACTAAATACTTTTTTACCATATCAGATAACTTTAAAAGGGTGTAGTAAGTAAATTATACCGTTCATTATATATTTGTAATAAATTTTTTCAGTGTAGATATTTCTTAATTAGGACTAATTTAAAATATGACGAGATAGTTTAAGAACATCCAATACTTAATACATGTGAGGTTCAACATAACTTACAAATTTGGAATTGTTTTTTTCTTTTTTTTACGTACCATTATCATTATTAACTTTATATTGTACATTACACATGACGTAAACTATGATAACCATGCACAATATACGTAATGTTTATACATTAGACATTGCATGAACTTAACAAATATATATAATTTATATAGTATGGCAAAAACGGAATGTGTGACTATGGTTTTGATGTTAGGGTTATATGAGTGCGTGAGAGTGAAAACCTGGAAACCGATCATAGTAAATTATTAAATCGGTTTCCAGGTTTTCACTCTCACATATTAGGAGGCTGTGTACGTAGAAATTTTTTCTTAAATTGCCGATCAACCTGTCATACATTTCAGACTTGCTACAGTATGACGAGTTATATTTAGTTCGAAATTTATAATATGACGTAACCCGTATACGTAGGATCCGTTAACCGGGTCAACCTATTGCTAACCGGAATAATTATTGAAAACATTCATCAAATTATAGCTTGGAAAAATACTACAAATCTAAGAGTTAGCATATAAGAATTACTTTTTGATTTCATTTATTCAAGAATGCTATTTTTGTTAATCAAGTCTGTAATTATTTTTATTAATGTAAATAAACATTAATCGTTTTCGTGATTCGGAATCACATGCATTGCTTAGCTAATTCAATTTAGTATTTAAGAGATCTTATCCAGAAGCAAATTCTGGTCGTCAATCACAACTGCAAAGTTTGTCATTAAGGCATAATCATGAACATCAGATAATTCATATCAAGTTTCTCTTAAATATTTATGAATACTTGCGTTATCAGCATACTAAAACACTATCAATTATTCCTTCAAAAATTAAACATATTTTCCTTTGAGCTTGTAAGGGAACTGTTGAATCACGTTGCACAATGCACGTGTCACACAACGAACGTGCTGGAAGTTCATGCAACGATCGTATCGGAGATTCATAAAACAAATGTTTATCACGTGAACGTGATGTAAGGTGGGAATCGCGTTAGCATTAGTCATTAGAAAGCGTAACGACTATGCGTTCAAGTTGTAGTCATAGTTCAGTAATTGTATTGTAAATTGCGATATAAAATGTGTAAAGAGAAAGAAAGCTAATTAGGCTTTCGCTTGTAAATTTTCTTTAATAAAGAAATAAACCCCAGTTTGCTTCATTTCACACATAAATTCGTCCAAAACCTATCTACCCTTAATAGATACGGTTACAGAGTTAGTCAAAGTCTTGAGTGCAATAGTATTGGACTTTTTATGTACTCTTACTAGTGTTCCTCACGGGCCGGATCGGGTCGGGTTTTAGAAAAGATCCAAACCCGACCCGGAACTGACGCAAAAAGTTTCATTTTAGATATAGAATTCAAATAAAAAAAATTTCATCGATTTTGGTCAGGCAGATTGTTGAGATATTCTCGTTCAAAGTTTTATAAAAAATTTTGCACGAATTGATTATTTACTAACTTTGAGCGAAGATATCTCACAACTGCCTGACTAAAATCGATGATTTTTTTATTATTTGAATTTTATATATTTGTAGAATGAAAACAAAAAAAAAAAAATTCATCGAATTTGGTCGAGATATCTTCGCTCAAAGTTTTAGAAAAAATTTGGCGCACTTATTTTATTAGACGTTTTGAATTTGTTTACCGGTACTTTGAGTGAAAATATCTCAACAACCGCCCAAATTTATAAAATTCTAAAATATCACAAAATTCACGTGATAAACCCGAATTATTAATATAGTTCTTTCAAATCTTGAGTCAATTTTTAATTAATATTATTATTTTTGACAGTCAAAATGTTAAAAAATATTCTTTTTTTCATAAAAATATTCTTTATTTTATTCTAGAGAAATTTTTACAATTATTATTATGAAACATAATTCTTTAATAGGTAAGTCAATTTGCTAGGATTTCAAAGAAAATCTTCTATAGTTTATAGTATACTGTCCTCGCTCAATTAAAAGATATCGATATAAATATTATACTTAATTATACGTATTGGTTTTATCTTGATAAAAAAAAAAAAAGTTTATGCGATGCAATATGTACAGTACATTGTATTATTTCAGTATTTGTAATTTTATTCTATATTAAACTATTGATACGTACATAATTATATAATTACTGTATACGTATATACTTTAAATTATTATTATTATTATCGTTATTGTTAAAAATATTAAAAATAGATAATGATAAGAAAGTCGCGTTTGTTTTTCTTTAAAACTTCCTTCAAAACTTTTTAAACTAAACTAAACGTCTAAAAAGCAACAAAGAAAAATATAACAAACCGTCTTTTTGGATGTTTGTACAACAATATCCGAAACGTAGTTATCTTATCAATCTACTATAAGTTAAAATACTTTTCAAGAGTTATTTTTTTTTTTTCCAACGACAACTTTTTATGACAAAAAAAAGATGAATGTAGATATTGAATTACATCGAGTTCTATTTAATGAAAATTTGACTGACAACGTAAAACTTAAGTTGGAAAGGTATTATTGAAAGAATAATATAAAACTATACGCGATTAAATACCTTTCAACAATATTTAATAATTTCTCACGTTATATTGTACACTTGTCATTATATAAAAAGGTTCTTTGCTGATATTGAAAAATTATATGCAAATTATTGTGCGTTCACAGTGAAACGTCCATATCTTGGGGTAAAACTTTTAAATACAGTAATAATTATTTTAAGAATTCGATTAAAAATTTATAAATTTAATTAATTCTCTTTTTTTCTAATTTTGTAGCTTTTCATCGCTATATTTATCGTTTTTTCAGCTTTTCCAATAATTAGTTACATAGTTTTCTTGACTACCTCTACTATCGTAGTTATTGGTGGTGCTTTATGTATTGGATTATTGATATTGGCTTTTCTTCTAAGTCTAGCTGGTAATTTCTGTACATTTTTTTTTTACTTTTAAATATTATCGTTATTAATTTTTATTATATTTTCATAAAAATTAGGTCTGACTCTATCTATCGCATTAGTTTGTGCCCTTTTTTTAACATGTGTAGTTTGTTTTTGGATTGCTCTTACTTTAACAATAACTCGTTTTATTGATGGTTATATTAAGACAAATAAGTTGGGTTTCTTTAACTTGTCAAATGGTAATAATCATGTGAATGGAAATGTGGGGTCCTATTGAAAGTTAGTGAAAGTCAAGGAATTTATATGCAGTCTAAATGAATACATATTCGATAAAGAATTGAATGTGTATAAAGAATAACATTTAAAAAGGTTTTCCGTATATGCAGTAAATATATATATTTGATAACGGTGTGTATAAAAGAATATAATGTAAAAAATTTTTACATTTTTTAATGTTATATAAAAAAAAAAAAAAAATAATATTTTAACTTCTTTATAAATGAAATTATCTTTACATTCTTTGTTTAATAACTAATAATCAATTTACATCTTTTTTCAATATATATTATACAAATGTTTGAATCTTTTTGTAATCCCTGAATTCAATTTATTAAAGTTCCGGCACATTGTATTTTTCAAAGACATCTTTACATTTCCATGTTAGTTTATAATACCTCTCATATAATGTATCATCACTATCCGTTGGAATAGTATCTATTTTATCAAATAAAATCTCCCGAGTATATTCGCCATCATAAGAGTCAATAGCTACTGCATAATCATCTATCAACTTTGCAATCGAATTACGATACGCTTCATTTGTTGGCTCTGGTATATGCTCTGATAAATTAAGCCATTGTTGGCAAAACTCGAAATATAAAACATCTGATCTACAATTTTTAGGTTCAACAAAAACTAAAAATGTTCTGTGGACGAATGTAGCTTTTTCAATAGCTTCAACTAATTCATTTTTTCTTGCCTTTTCCAAAGCAGTATCATTAATTTTCTAATATGTAAATAAAAATATTATATAAAAATAATTATTATTAAAAATATATATATATATTTGTTCGATCACTTGATATTGAAAAAAAAACAAACCTTTAAACAAATTTTTGCATACTGGGTAATGAAAGAGGCTCGCCGCAGGTCCTCTACATTAACCATGAATTTACTACTAAACGTAATATTGGATATCCACGCATTTTCAAGGGTTATAGCTCGATGAAAATATGCAATCGCACTGATAAAATCGTTTTTTTCTACCATTTGTTCCCAACCTTCAACGATATATTGAGTTATCTCTTTAAATTCTTCAAAAGCTTTGACAACTTCAATATATCGTTGATCTTTACGATACTTTTCATCTAATAAAATAGGATCATCCCAACTCCACCCTGCAGTCTATTAAGGTGATGAATGTATATCAATAAATACTATTTAGATTTAAAAGATAATTTTTGTTGATGACTTACGGATTTTGCGTATTCAGTCAAAAGAGATTTGATAGCTTCACCTTGGCCGATCTTAAAGAAAAAGAATTCTATTCTAAAATTATGATAAACCAATTTAATAATAATTAATAATTTCTAAAATTATGAATAAACAAATTTAATAATAATTAATAATTTCTAGATTATTATCATTTTGTTTTTATTTTTCCTGTTTACCTTTTAAGAATCTTTGCATCATAGATTTTAATATTATTTGCTTGTTGAAATATTGTATTGATATTAAGTTGAATAGTTTTTTCTGAATCTGGTGATCCACCACACGCAGTAGAATCTGACTCCCATGTACTGTCCATAGCATTGCTATCCGGCAACTCTGAATCTACCTGACGGTATTGATTGGCTATTTCCTCTTCAAGTATTTGATTATCTTTTTCTACAAATGCCTAATAAAAAATATATATATATATATTTGAATAATGCTTTGTAAAGGAACTATATAAAGTATGAATTTAAAATATGAAATAAACCTTGAGTGAATCAGGAATAATATCCACAATATTCGGAAAATTGTAATCAACATTTGCATTTACATAAAAAAGTGTATAGACACTGTTATTCGGATATATCCCTCCTGGCTCATTAAGCACCACTTCTTCCAATGCCTAAATATAGTCATATCATGATAATACATTAACCAAATTTAAATAATATAAAAAAATACGTATATCTTTAATAATAAAACTTACATCTTCTACTACAGTATCTTGGAATTTCATCCAACTACCATTATCCATAGTACTTGTACAAAGAATATCTGGCCTACTGCACCTTGAAACCCATATATAAGCCCAGTGATTTCCTTGTCCTGTTTGTCCATTATGTACTAAAACAGCCTTAAGACGATAATGAATTTCCTTCATATCGGGTGTGTCAAACATTTGTTTAATTTTTTGTTCAAGTTCGTCCTTTTTTTCCAATAGAACTAAATAAAATATTATATAAATCTTATACAAATATTATATAAAATTATCAATTAAAGGAAAATTAAATAAAAGCTGCCAAAATACCACTCAATTTTTGTTCAACTTTATCCAAAACTCTCTCTAACCATGTCGTTGTCTGCTGCGCATCATCATCATAAGAATCTTTTTCTTCCGCTTTACGACATTTTCGTTTAAAATGTTCTATCGAACCTCTAAGCAAATCAGGGCCATTATATTTTCCCTATTAAAGAAATAGGATCAAAAATAATGTTATAACTTTGTATATGTAAAATTGGTGATAATAAATAATACCAACCTGAAATTTAATAATTTTGTCAATACTCTGTTTTATTTTTTCGAGATTATTCTTCATTATTTCAATTTTACTCCAATTTTTTTCGATAATTGTACTATTTTCGTACATGTAACGATCCATATATATTTCCTTAAGGATTTGAAATGTTGAATAATTATTATTGTAATTATCCTTATGTCTTAAATTCATGATTAATATGTTGGCGAGTTGTGTGAAGAAGAAAGGTTTACTAGAGTTTCCATTGGATTCGTGTATTTTATGATCCAATGCATCGTAAATTGTTTGAAAATTAGGATATACATCTAGAATGTTTGGTAGCAATGAATTAAAGATAAATATGGGATGTCTGATTATAAAAGTAATTTATTTTAAATTATTTTAAATATTAAGGATATAATTTTCGTAACGGTTCTATGTCTATCAGATTGGTAATAATTGGTTTCATATTTCATGGTCGTCAAATTTTCGGCATTTGATTTAAATAACCTAATAAAATCAAGAAATATATATATATATATGTAAACATCATGTGATTATTAAAATTATTACATTTATACATAACACTAAACTTTTCAAAATCAAGAATGTAGCGCTGAAGCTCGGCTGGAATATTTTTGTTCTCTGTAATCCGATAATTCGACCCTTCCAACAGTTTATTAATTAGTTTAGAAGTAAAGTCTACGAAAGAAATTGAACCGTAATATAAATTTGTTGAAAAGTAAATATTAAAATTAATTACATTGTAATTCAATTAATGAAATGACCGTTAATAATGTGTGCACATACTGATCATGACTTCCACTTCATTCCAAGTTGCCTTTTCATCAAAATCCAAAGCATCCATTAGGAAACTTGAATCACCATAAGTTCTTTGACTCAACGATAGGAAGCCAAAAAGCTTTTGAAATTCATGAATGACTGAAATTAAGTATGAAGCACATATTTAAATTATTGAAATTAGATTATTCAAATGTATTAATATTACTTCTCACTCACATTTTAAAGTAGCAGATCGATTTATGTTATTATAAGATTTACGATTATAATCATCGGTAGAATTATAATGTTTTTGACCCTTCCAATAACCTTCAACATTACCCCAATTGTCTTTAGTGGGATGATATGCCAACAAAGATAATCGAAAAACTGGGATGTGAAACAATGCTTGAAAAAAAGAAGTAGCGTAATAAAAATCTATCACTGGTCTCAATCCAAGAGGACTGATTTGTAGTATGTTATTATAATTTGTCATTAAAATATATTATCAAACGACACGAAACTGTATTGTAATACATACGTTGTATCAAGCTTCACTCTTTTCGCCGGTTGGTCGTCCCAACAACCATTCTGCCAATTCTGATCGGATAAATTTTGATACTGAGAATCATTATTATCCTAATATTATTATTATTTTTTTTTTTAAAAAAAAAAAATGAAAAAAAAAAATTAGTTAATGCGTATTGCATGCCGAAATTTCAATCGTTTACATAATTTTAATGTGTTTATAAAAAACTCGTGACAAACCTTATTACCATTATATAGAACAACAGCCTGAGAGTTATAACCATCTTTAAGATCCGGATATGGATTCTTACTCATATCCATCGCCATTTGAATATCTTTTTTTTTCTATATCATCCATAGAGGCTTCTAATGCTTTTTTCAAATCATCTTTATTATTGAACATAATAAGTTAAAAATCATCAATAAAATTACTCATATATTTAAGTATAATACGAATAAATACGTACCATTTTCAAAAGAGGATGGATTATTTGCATTTGGATCAAGATAACCTAACATTTTATTATCCCCTTAACAATAAAATAAAAGGAAAATTAACAAAGAAATATAACAACTAATACAAAGTATATCTAAAGCTTTAATTCACTTTTAAAAGTTTAAATATTTTCGAAAATAAGAATTACCATCCTCCCAGTTATTATTAGTTTGTGAATCCGTTCCTAATGGTGCTAAATCAGGAGTCTAAAGCGTGATTGGAAATTATCATTGATTGAAAGTGCACAATCTTTCTACAGCAAATAGTTTATAAATTGCTATTTTTACTTCTTCAGGATCTGTAGACTGATTTTCAAATATGAAGTTCGCGGCACGTTGCAAATCGCCATTAGATTTCTATAGTAAAAAAAAAAAAAAAAAAAAAAAAAACCAGTTATGTTTTAGTCAACAGATTAGTAGATATAATAAGGTGGAAATAGGTTTTATACAAAAAAAAAAAAAAAAAACACTTTTTTTTAGCATACCGATAAAGCTTCCCGAGCTCTGGCTTCGGTTACACCCTATTAAGTATTTCAAAGTTTTGAGTAACAAAATAAACGTTATTAATATAAAAATATTAAAAGATAAATAATTTACCAACTGCTTAAGAGTATTAATTGCTTCTTGATCTTGATCCATAAGAAGTTAAAAAGACAGATCTAGCGCAAGATCTAAAAATCCAGTCTCTCGGATATAAACGTATTTTACGCGAGTAGTACAGATCCCTAATAAGGAAATAGCCAATCAGATGTGCAATTTTAATCTTTGGTAGTATATTACAATTTGGGACACAATAGCGATAAAAAAACCAGTAAATAATAATTTGTCACACAACATAAAAAATTCAACTTCGTCAATTGGCAAAATTCACGGTTTCATAAAATAAAGTTTAATAAATATGTTTTCGAGTCTTTTTTTTTGACTCTTTAGATAATTTAGCTAAAAAGATTAATATAAATTATTATTATTAAGAAATCATATATTTGATTTTAGATTGGTATAAGAAATATTTGAATACGATACTTTCTGACAACAATTCAGGTTTTCTATTGTTATAAAATGAATTTTAGCATATTTCTTATTTAGAGATTGTACCCGGTTCAAAATTTAAGCTCCGGTTATTCATAGATAGCAACTACTAAAATCACGAATGGCAAATACATTTTTTGCCTAATAAAGATCTTTCGCATTCCCAAATTTTGTATTGGCTAGATTAACTTAGAACTTTTAAATATGAGCATGCAATTCCATTGGATAGATTATCTAATATTACAGAAATTTGCAAAGGAGGATTTGGTTCTGTATAATATAGCAAAAATAATTATGCAAGAGTATATAAAAAATCCAATACTGTTGCATTCAAGACTCTGATCAGTTTTAAGAAAAATAGTTTTAATTTTTTGAAAGAATTTATCAATCATATAATATGCATAGCAAACTCATAATAGAATAGAAGTTTTTAGAAATATTTAAGAAAAATTTGAGGCTTGCTTAAAAGGCTAAACTGAAAATGCTTAATATAAATTATCTGATATTCATTATTATATAAAGCTATATTTAGAATTGTTTAGAATAAAAAGAAAGTATTTCAGAAAATAAAATAAGCATACTTTTCCTGTAGATTATTTTAACCAAATTCAGAACAGAAAAAAAATCACAGAAAAAACTAGTTTTTTTATAAGAAAAACTACAAAGTCTATTAAAAAAATAGTATCCAAACAAAGAAAGCATATTAGAAACATAGCAGTAAAGAAGAAAAAATTCTTTAACTAAACAACAAAATAAAAAAAAGAAATTTTTAGTCAAAATTTTCACTCTTTATAAAAATTGTTTACATTTTTTTAAAGATTTAGTAAACTCCTGAAAACTACTACTAATTATTATACAAAATCTAGATCACAATCACTTTGAATTTAGAAACAAGACATGTAAACTTGTTTGTTTTGATATTATTATAATTAACAAACAATATATATATAACAATAAATCATATTATACAAGTTAATACACTAAATTCAAATCAGATAACTTCTGTAGGATCACAAATAAAAATATAAAAAATTTCAAATTATTTATTAGAAAAGCTCTAAAATAGTTAAATTAGTATCTGTAGAATTAATAAATAGAAATCTGTAAATAGATTATTTAAGTTTAGATAATAACAGAATATCTAGTAATACAAGATCAATTTAAATATAGTAAGCAAAATGTAGAACATAGATTATACAAATAGTCTCATTAAAAAAGTAGCAGACATCTATGGTAAAGAAATGCTATCTAACAGAAGCAACTATGTTGAAGATCTTGTAGATCATATAGATGATATGATAGCAAAAGCAATGCTTATAGATAAAAAAATTGTTATTACAACAAGACAATAGAGAAAGATAATTGAAAGAGCAGCAATTTTAGAAGATATTAACAAAGTAGAAAAAATATTAAAACAAGAAGAACTCTACATACAACAACAAAAAATTAATACAGTAGTAATTAAAGAAATTAAAATAGCTATTGAAGTTAAAGTATACAATAAAGAAAAAAATAAAAAAAATAAAAATATAGTAGAAATAGAAATAGATATAAAAAATGAAAGCAAAGATTCAAAAAAAGAATGTAAAATAACTACATTAGAAGAGATTAACATAGTAGAGAATATACTAGAATTAAAGTCAGAAAAAGTAGTCTTTGAAGAAAAATTTGAAAGATTAGATGAAGAACTAAAAATCAAATATAGTAACTCTTCTCTAGACAAAAGTGTATAGGTACCAAACAAAGAAAGTTGTAAAGAAAAAAAGATTTTATTACTAGGACTATTGCAGCAAACATTGTTGGCAAAAATATATTTCAAAAAGAAAAAATGCTTAGATAATCTTTAAAGAATAATATGCATATCAAAGAAATTTCAGAAGAATTTTTAAAAGGAAATTTATAGTGTATAATAGTCTTTGATTGCAAAAAAGATTTTGAAGAAGCAATTGCTAAATTAAAAAATAAAAAAGAAGAACATGAGCAGTTCAAACTCCTTCTAGAAGAATTCAGAGTTAAAACTCAAGTCAAAAAACCTCAAGAAAGTATTTCAAACTTTAGAAATCCTAAAAAAAAGAAAAAAGAAATACAAGAAAAAGTAGCAGTTGAACTAAAAGAAATCTTTGAAAAAAGAAAACTAAAGAACATCTCTGAAAAAGCAATTAAAAAATCTAAAGACAGATCTACTAAAAAGAATAAATCTGAAAATTATGAAGAAGTAGTAACAATATAAGATCTTTCATAACAAATAGGAAGAACCCAAGTCTTCAAAACTACCTGATATTTAAGAAGAATCATTCATATTGAAATAATAAGAGAAGGTTACTACAAAACAAGAGCTAAAGTAATATTCTTAAAAGAAAGAGAGAGTAACTAAAATAAATTGCTTTGAGTTATCTCTTTCCAAAAAGATTTACTAGTTAGAGTATCATCTAGATCTAATAATAACAAAATTTTAGAAAGTCAAAAATTGTATATAACCAAACTATACAATATACTAAAAATATGAATAAGGTTTTACTGCTTAGACAAATTAAGTATGTGAATACAAAAGCAATACATGTTTTTAAAAATATGAATAGAAATAACAAAGAGTTTGCAATAGTATTTTTTAAAAACAAAAAAGACTTAGAACAAGCTAGAAAATATAATTTATTATACTATAATACAAAACTAAATTGGGAAAAAGTCTACTTAGAAGACAACAAAAAAATACTATACAGAAGAAACTCTTTATGCAAAGACTCTAAAAATATCTGAAGGAATAGCTACTCTAACAGAACAGAATTTAGTAAAGATGATTTTACAGATGATAAAAAGTTAAAACAAGAATCTCAAATAAAAAGTATATTTTCTAAAGAAAAAAGAAAAGAAATACGAGAAGAAGAAAAAAAAAGATAAGTACTTACTTAACTGGAAGCTTAAGTAAAGCCTAGAACCAAAGTTCACACTTTCAAGATTTAATAGATTATATATTACAAATTATAAGAGGACTTGAAGAAAAAATTCATAACATAGAATAAGAAACCTCTAACTACTTCTAATAGTTGCACTAGTTGAATTAATAACAAATAATAGTGAAAATAGCTATTATTAAGAGAAAGAAGAGTATTCAAGAAGTAGCAGAAAAGAGAATAAGATTCACAAAGAAACTATAGAAGACTTTCGTAATTTAAAAGTAGCTATATATAATATTAATGAGATAAAAGAAAACTCAGTAAAATTAGAAATACTTATGGACTAGACTTGTAAAGAAAATATAGACCTGATAGGTTTAAACAAGATAAATATATTAGAAAGGCAGAACAAGCTTAATATGAGAAAACAAAATTGTTATTTAGGAATTTAAACTGATGCAAAAGAAGACAAAAAAGAAAAGCTCAGGAGTAGATTTGCTAATGAATAAGAAATAGGAAAAATATCTAAACCAAGTAAAGAGAAAAAACTCATATTATCTAGAAGCACTATTTGTATTCAAGAAACAAAAAATACTAGTAGTAGTAGTAGTAGTATATATCCCATATAAAGATTAATAAATTTGAAAAGAAATATAATAAAAAGTAATTAGAAAAGGTAATAAATACAATAGAAAGAATATTAAATACATAGTTATAGGTGATTTTAATAATATTCAAAACAAAAATCTAGATCAAAACAGATCAAAGTCTAAACGAATACAAAAGCTACCTTTAACTACATAGCTTGAAAATTCAAATATGATTGATTCTTTTAAAAAAATACATCCTATATTCAAGAAATTTACTAGATCTAATAAGATAGTTAAATCAAAAATAGATTATATTTAGATCTTGAATAAGTTAAAAAAAGGATTGCTACAATATAATATTATAGAAGCAAACAATATCACTAATAGTGACTACTCAATAGTTACAGTGAAACTACTAATTAGGATCATGAAAAAAGATAAATCAGTAGCTTGCAACAAAAAACTAAAAAGTAAACAATAGTATTTCTAGCTAGACAAAGCAACTGAAGCAAACTAGAAAAACTACAAGACTAATTTAGAAAATATACTGAAAAAGAAAATCAAAGAGAATAAAAGTCTAACTGATATTTGGAAAACAAGCTCTAAAATAAAGATAAATTATGGGATATAATTGTAACAAATATAATTAAATATATAAAGATATCACTACTTAGAAAAAAGGTAACTCTGAGAAGTACTAATACAAAATAATACAAAGAAAGTAACAAAGCAAAAAAGAATCTACAAAGAATTATAAGTTTTTGTTAACAATATGCAAAAGAACTAGATCAAAAGATCAATAGCAAGAATAAACATAACTTAAATCTACTACTTTAAGATCTATGTAGTACATACAAAGTCAAAACAGAAGAGGTTAATGAAGAAGCCTGATCTAAAGAAAGATATAATAACCTTAAAATCTGATAGAAAATTATTTATGCTAAGTTGTAACAAGAAAGAAGAAAAGAAGATCTAGAAGAAATAAATATAGCAATTGATAATTATTGTGAAGTAATTCAAGGCAAGCTAAAATATATGCTAAGTAGTCTTTTAAAGAGATCTTCAAAACAAATTGTTATAGATCATTTAGTAAAATCAGAAAGAGCAGATATTATACTACTAAACT